CTAATTCTATCTTATATCTTATTGATGCATCCTTATTAGTATTGGACATTTTCATTTTCAGTCATTCATGGTCTTTATATCAAAAGAAAAAAGTGACTGAGTCTGATTTTATAATTTTATTAAGTTTTTTAAGTATAATTCTCAGTACACTTGGAATGATTATTGGATGTGATAAAACAACAAAGGCAATTCTACAAGGATTAACAACTATGTTTTTTTGGCTTTATCAAGTAATGGGAAGATTTTGTGATTAAAATGAATCTGAAAAGGACATAATAGTTTCCACAACTTTTATAAATTTTTTAAATGCAGTTTGCTTGTATAATAATTCAAAAGATTACAATTCTTTTAATATTGAAATTTTTAAAATAATTATGATTTTGATCAGTAATTATGATGAGTTTCTAAAACCAATACTACTAATCATTCCAACAACTGTTCAAGGTGTGATACTATATCCTAAATATGATAATATCATCATAATAGTTACTATTATTTCATCTTTTGCAGCATCACTCATGCTTCTGCATCGAAAAGTTCAGATGTCTCAGGCTCAGGAACCTCAAATACCTCTAAAATCCAATGAATATCTAAAACATTTTTTTATAGAGTTAAAGACAATTTTTCTTAAATTTTGCTTATCTGGTGCATATTTTATAGGAATAACAGTATTTGTTATATTGTTTATTTTATTTTGTTTGATTTTGCTTGGTATTATCTTCTCTCTTTATCTTCTTTTTATGAACATTTGGTTTGGTATTATTTATTTCATTATTGGTGCTTTTTTAATTATTATTTCACTAGGACTTGTGCAAATGCCAATGCAAGAGTCCTTCTTTATGTTTGAGAGTCTTCCAATATTAATTCCTGTTAAAGATTATTTCGAATTTTTAGTATATTTAGGAAGTTATTTAATTTTTTAACTAGAGAAATTTAACAATGATAATAATGAAGTTTTCTTTCACTAAAAAAATAATATTGATTTGTTACTGCCTGATGCGTGTTTTAAAGATAATTTTACAAAATTTATTTTCTGTAAATTATCACAATGAAAATAATATCAATTAATTAATACATTTACCACTTGCTGTGATTATCATTATCATTACCAATTTGCTTATTTAAATTACTTCTCATTGTATCAGACATTTTTTGATTAGATTTAAAGTAATTTAACATATTTCTTTCTATCAATCTAAATTCTTAATTTTTGATTATAGTAAAAATAGTACATTAAAAAAAAAAAATCATCAAAAAAGCATATTGATCTTTCTTCTAAAATGAAATTTGCTACGCCAAAATTCATTTTTAATTATTGAAATACAATACCAGCATCAACCCAGAGTGCATACCAAAACAAGTTATTTAGTTAAGAAATAATTTTATATTCACTTTAGAATAATTTATTGTTGCTGACTTGAAAATAAAAAATAATAAACTTGGCAATAATTGTTACCATTTATTAATTTCAATAACTCCACTTTGGCTAGTCAGTGTTGTGACCAGAAACTCTTTTGGCTTCCCGAAACGTTTCGGAAAATGAACTTACACTAAGCAGAAAACTAAA